TAAGTTAGGATACACTACACAGTTTAAGTTAGGGTACATAAAAACCACAGGTTAAGTTGGATACACACACATGTTAAGTTAGGATCTTTTCACATGTTAAGTTTTGGGTACAGTACACATTTAAGTTGGATACAGTACACAGGTTTAGCTAGGAACACTAACAAGTTTAAGTTAGGATACAGTACACGTGTTTAAATTTGGAACATAAATGTTTCTAGGATAACTCACGGTTAATTAGGATACAGTACACAGTGTTAAGTTTGGATACGTACACATTTAAGTTAGGATACAGAACAGTGTTAGTTAATACGTACACAGTGTTAAGCTAGGATACAGTACACAGTGTTTAAATTTGGGTACAAACACAGTGTTTAAATTAGGATACACTACCAGGTTAAAATTTGATACATACACAGATTAAGTTAGGGTACATACACTTTTTAAGTTAGGGAAAACACACAGGTTAAGTTGGATACTTTCACAGTGTTAAGTTAGGATAAATACACGTGTTTAAATTGGATACATACACAGTGTTAAGTTAGGATACACTACACAGTGTTAAGTTAGGATACACTACACAGTGTTAAGTTAGGATACACTACACAGTGTTAAGTTAGGATACACTACACAGTGTTAAGTTAGGATACACTACACATTTTTAATTGGGTACAGTACACAGTGTTAAGTTTGGTAACTCACATGTTAAGTTAGATCCTACACATGTTAATTGGATACATTTAAAAGTTTAAGTTAATACACTACACAGTATTAATTTGGATACATACACATGTTAAGTTAGGTACACTACCAGGTTAAGTTGGATACAGTACACAGTTTTAAATTGGATACAGTACACGTGTTAAGTTAGGGGAAAAGTACCAGTGTTAAATTAGGTCGTCACAGTGTGTTAGGATACATACACAGTGTTAGTTAGGATACAGTACACAGTGTTTAAATTAGGGTAATACACGTGTTTAAATTAGGATACACTAACATGTTAAGTTTTGGGTACATCACAGTGTTCAGCTAGATAAATACACAAGTGTTTAAGTTTGGATACGTACCAGTGTTAATTAGGATACCTACCAGTGTTAAATTAGGGTACAAACCCCAGTGTTAAATTAGGGTCATACACAGTGTCAGCTAGGAACACAAAACAAGTGTTTAATTAGGATACAGTAACATGTTAAGTTGGTCAACACAGTGTTAAGTTAGGTACATACACATGTTAATTAGATACAGGGACAATGTTTAAGTTAATACATACACAGTGTTAAGTTTGGATACAGTAACAGTTTTAAGTTGGATACACACACATGTTAAGTTTGGATCATACCAGTGTTAAGTTAGGATCACTACACAGTGTTAATTAGGATACGTACACAGTGTTAAGTTAGGATACAGTACACTGTTTTAATTAGGGGTACAGTACACATGTTAAGTTAGGGTAATCCAGTGTTAAGTTAGGGTAAAAACACGTGTTAATTAGGATACATACACAGTGTTAATTTGGATACATACACAGTTTAAGTTAGGATAAAACTACACAGTGTTAAATTTGGGTACATACCAGTGTTAATTTTGGTTCATACACGTGTTAAGTTAGGATACAGTACCAGGTTAAGTTAGGATAAGTACACAGTGTTAAGTTAGGGTCACACCAGGTTAAGTTTGGATAACTAAAAGGTTTTTAAATTGGATAACTAACAGTGTTAATTTGGATCATACACATTTTAAGTTTTGGATACAGTAACAGGTTAAGTTTGGAACAGTAACCCCTGTTTAAATTAGGATACACACCAGTGTTAATTAGGAAATAACGTTTTTTTCAACAGTGTTTAAATTAGGATACTACAAGTGTTAAGTTAGGATACCTACCAGGTTGTTAATATTTTAAAGGTTACACTTTTTCCACAAGGGGGGGGGGGGGGGGGGGGGGGGGGGGGGGGGGGGGGGGGGGGGGGGGGGGGGGTTAAGTTAGGATACAGTACACTGTTAAGTTGGATACAGACACAGTGTTTAGCTAGGATACACTACCAGTGTTAAGTTAGGATACAGTACACAGTGTTAAGTTAGGATACACTACACAGTGTTAAGTTAGGATACAGTACACAGTGTTAAGTTAGGATACAGTACACAGTGTTAAGTTAGGATACAGTACACAGTGTTAAGTTAGGATACAGTAACAGGGTTTTTTTAGGATTAAAACCAGTGTTAAATTGGTCACTACACAGTGGGAGAACGTACACAGTGAATAGGGGATAATCAGTTTAAAGTTAGGTACATAAAAGTGTTTAATTAGGGTACATAAAGTGTTAAGTTAGATAATCACATGTTAAGTTAGGATACACACAGGTTAATTAGGTACACTACCATGTTAATTAGGATACATACCAGTGTTTAAGTTTGGGTACATAAAAGTGTTTTTAATTAGATACTACACATGTAAGTTAGGATACATACACAGTGTTAAGTTAGGTAAACACAGTGTTTAAATTAGGATACACTCACGTGTTAGTTGGATCACACCAGTGTTAAATTGGATACCTACCATGTTAAGTTAGGTACATACCAGGTTAATTAGGATACACACACAGTGTTAAGTTAGGATACAAACCCCCAAATGTTTAATTTTTGATCAACAAATGTTTAAATTAGGATACATACACATGTTAAATTAGGAAACATACACTGTTAAATTTGGATACACAAAACCCGTGTTAAGTTAGGATCTACACAGTGTTAAGTTGGGTACATACACAGTTTAAGTTTGGATACACTACACAGTTTAAATTAGGGTCACCAAAAGTGTTAAGTTAGGGTACACTACACAGTGTTAAGTTGGAAACATACCAGTGTTTTTAAATTAGGATACACTACAGTGTTAAATTTTGGATAACTACACATGTTAATTTGGGTACATACACAGTGTTAAGTTAGGATAATACACATGTTTAAATTAAAAGGAATTTTAATACACCCGTGTTTAAGTTGGGTACACTACCATGTTAAAATTAGGATACCTACACAGTGTTAAGTTTGGATACAAAATAACAGTTTTGTTTGGAACACTCCGTGTTAAGTAGGAACACTACACGTGTTTTGAATAGGGGGGTTTTTCACAATAGGGAGAAAATTATAAATTGTTCCAAAAATAGAACAAAAATTTTTAAATTTTCTTGCAACTTTTTTTATGATTTCATTTAATTATAAGTTTTTTCTTACTTTTTTTACGACAACTTGACCTCACTCTGTGCCCCAGGTGCCTGTGTGCTGACCCTCCCGGTGGCACCCTTATGGAAGGGCCCTTTAGGGGGCAGAGGACCCGTATGATACAATGAACTGCAAATCACCTTTAGTTCCTGACGGGATAGGCCCCTCAAAACCCTTTGGTGAATAACCCCTCGGGGTCGCTTCAAATAAATATGAATTTGGGTGCAAAAAATAGACCCTTTTAGGAAAAATAAAGAATATACTTTTCCTGGTTAGGTTAGGTAAATTCGCAAAACAGGATAAGTGTTCCTAGCGGGTTTAGTCTTATGATGACCCGCCACTGGGGCTTTTTGGGCATCTGTCAAGGCCCTTTCCCCGGGTTACCCTCCACCCCTTTGAAAAATATTTATATTTAACTATTAGCTATTTCTCCTTTTACGTATTTTAAAGGAAAGAAAAAAGCTGAAAATTTTTGGAGTCTGAGTTAACGTTAACAGCTATCATTTTTTTTCCCCTTTTTTTTTGGGCTTGTGAAATTTTGTATTTTTAGTCAAGCAAGTCGTTACCCTATTAAAACTAATGTCCTTTTTTTTTTTTTTGAGTCAGAGTTTCGCGGCGGGGGGTGGGAGTGAACAAGCCGGGGGGTCGTCAGTACCCTGCACTGTCAGGAGAATGGTAACATGAAGCACTGCAGTGTGAGGAGGCTGGGGCTACTTTGTCATCCCCGACACCGGGGTACCCCCGGGGCCTTTTCCGAGAACGCCCTGGAGCCCTTCCCCGCTGTGAGTTGTCAGACTTCTTATCTTTTTGCCAGCTTAATTATTTTTCCATACCCCTTTTGTTTTTGAGCTTATTAAATGTCTTTTTTATATCGAACTCATTAAAGCTTCTCTCTTATCTTTGGGGTCACCTTCTTTGAGCTCACCTTAAGGCCCCTGACAACTTTAAACCCTAAAAAATTTTCCCCCTTGCCGATTCTACAAGGGGGCCCCCATTTAAGTGCCCTTGATTTGGGGAGGCTCTTGATCTAAAGGAAATGATAGTCCTTCCTTGGCTCGGATCAACACATTTCCCCCTTATATTGCGGGGCCCCCCACACGTTTTTTTCCTTATAAAACTGAAAAACCCCAAAACGTTCCCCTCTTTTTTGTTAGTTTACCCCAAAACGTTTTTATTTCCTTAAAAACTGCCTCCAAAACTCCCCCCAAAGGGGGCCTAACAGTTCCCTATAATACTGTAGCCTTAAAAAATTTTCTATCTAATATCATACCACACACGTTTCCTTCCCAACATACGGAACCTAACCGTTTTCCTCTTTTTAATGTTGATGGCCCCCGACGTCTCCCTTACCTGCGGTGTCGTACCATTAACCACATCAGCCCCTATCGCTACCTTGGGAAAGTTGCTGTACAGAAATTCGCAGGGGAATTTAAAACCTAGGGGAAAAGACAAAAACCTTATTCAATAAAGTTTAGTTAAGCATTTATTGAAAGGAACTTTTAAGTCCCTTGACCGGAAAAGGAAAGAAAGAACATAAATTACCCGGGAAAACCCGGGGTGGGGCCCCAAAATTTTCAACGAATCACCTCTAGAAAGCAAAAGACTCGGCAACGGGGTAAAATACCCCCAGTGAAAGTAGGGGGACCCTTTTACACTAAAAGACAAAACTAAGTGTCCGGGGGGAAGACGTTTAACAGCCCCCCCCAAAATAAGGAAAAATTTCCACAGACCCCTGGCTGCCTTCAAGCGGGAACTGGACAGATACCTTCCTGCTCACACTCCTACACTCACTCTCATTCTCAACCTTCTTACAGACAACGGTACGATGACGGGGGTAATGTATCTGCGAAGGTGTGAAAGTGAGCACCACGCTCATGCACGCATAGTGGATCGCATGCACGATAAGGGAGTGCTGCAGGGGCCATCCTCGGTCCTCAGCTGTGACCCTGACGGCTCATACAGTGCCTACCAGTACGACCTTGACGGACTGTGAGTTACCAATACACAAAACTATTTTTCCTCAGACCCAGCACTGGATATTATCTAATTCAACCGGAGGCGCTAAACTCTTAGGCAATGACTCACGAAATCATAATAACACGAATGCAGATAAATTAGGGAAGGGTTGGGGGGGGGGGGTTGAACCCATGGCAGGTGAGTCTTAAAACTCACAGGCCAGTGCGTTAACCTCTGGGCCAGCTGGCTCTACAAGATTCATTTAACTAGTTGGGTGAATCTTTAATATTAGAACAATTGGTCGAGTGGTTAACGCACTGGCCTGTGAGTTGTAAGACTCACCTGCCATGGGTGAACCTCCCCACCCGTTCCCTGATTTTTCTTAGGTTACTCAGGACCTAGTGGGCCAAAACTAGAGATAATCAGGACTGAACCCAGGAAGAGGAGAACACCTCAGATTACCTGAATATAAACTTAGTGTAGAACTATATATTAACGTTTGTTACAATAATACTGCAATGTATATTGAGATATACACCTGTCAGGGTGATGTACATCTCTCAGGGTATATACACTGAGTGATATACATCTTTCAGGGTATATACACTGAGTGATATATATCTCTCAGCGTATATACACTGAAGCATACACCACCACCACTCAGGGTATATATACTGACACATACACCTGTCAGGTATATACACTGAGTGATAATCTCTCAGGGCATATACACTGAATGATATATACATCTCTCAGGGTATATACACTGAAGTATACACCACCACTCAAGGTATATATACTGAGATATACACCTCTCAGATTATATACATTTGAGGAATACATCTTTTAGGTATGTGCACTGAAACACACATCTCTTAGGGTGTACGTATACACTGAGACGTATCTCTTAGGGTATATACACTGAAATATATACCACTCAGGGTATATAGAGAAACATGCAAGACACGTGAGCAAACACTAGGACATATTTATTAGAAAACGATTCGGTCCTGGGACCTTGATTACTTCTAACACACAGAGGTTAAAAAGCCCCACACCTCTAACTTTCCACAGCGGGCGTCTACACCATCCCTTCTGAATATTGTCCTTAGAAATATGTAGAGGAAAAAGGCAGAAATCTTTTAGTCCGCCTGAGTGAACATCGTAACGCCAGAAACAAAGAGGACTTAATTAAGGTAGGCCTGTGTCCTCAACAGAGACTCCACGGGACATTTGATGAATTGGGATGAGGCACAGCTCGTCCTCGCAGAACAAGATCTTAAATGCCGACGATGTGTGGAAACCTCGCTAATCACCGTCACCGACACTATAGAACACTGGAAACTACAAAATTTCAAAATTTCAAAAACATGATAGTCAGCCAGACAAAGCACCACCTACCTAAGAACACGAAAGTCACAAGATCCTGTTGTCTACCTGTCCTCATCCCAATATGGTAATCTTCAGTTCACCATGTGTCACACCTCACTCTCCGCCTATATATACTGTCTTTTTAACCTCTGTATGTTAGGGCGCCTCCTGGCCTGGGCAGAGTCCTACCTCAGGGACAGGCAGGCCTGTGTCTGCTTCCGGGGACACTACTCTTCCCTTAAAACTAAGGAGGTATGCTCAGTCTCACCCTGTTCAATATCTTTATGTAGGAACTTGTGACCCTTTCTTTCATAGTGGTATGCAGCTCCTCAGCTCTGCTGATGATCTTGCGCTCGTAGTGAATGGGAAAGACAGTTTGGAGCAACAAGCCAAGAGACCTTTGGCCCTAATAATTCAGTCTTGTAAAGAACAAGGCCTCAAGATCTCCGCAATGATGTCCAAGGGAACAGATCCTGTGAATAAATTACGTATTCAGGATATAGAACTTGAGTGGACAGGCCCCTTCCTATACTTGGGAGTCTACACTGATAAAAAGCTGACCTTTCAGAAATAGGCTGAGTATGTCAGATCTCGTGCTCTACTCAGACTCAATGCCATGGAAGCCATGACGAGGCACAATGCAGGGCCGAGCAAAGTACTGCGCTTGTACTATGTACAAGCTGTGCGTTCGTTCATTAACTACGATGCACCGGCGTTGGCTCGTCTCTCCGCAGAGCAGGCAAAGGGTGGAGGTCGTACAGAACCAGGCGATAAGAACGATGCTTTGGGCCCCCATTTGGACCAACATAATATGTCTCAAAAAATTCGAGGCCCGGCTTCCTCCCCGGCTGACAGAGTCAACCACGATTTTGCACCGGCTGCAGTACACCCCACTGAGAAGACGGATACTGGCATCCATGGCCACTGTCTCCTGGAGTGCCACGTCACTGAGACACTCCGCAGGCAACTAGCACTAACGTCCCCTCCTGAGGAGGACCCAAAGAGGACTACGGCTACCCTAGTGTACCGTGGAGTCAACGCTCTGGAGAAGCTGTTGCCCGTGATAACGGGCAACACTTGTCCTCGCTAGCGTGTCCACAATTAAGTGTGTATGCTGTGCGTATGAAAGTTTGCATGAATATACATATGTATGCGTATAATGTGCCCGGCATGGACATGTATATGAATCAATGTTCCTGCCAAGAACCCAAAGATTACGGGCAGCGTTCTCGCTTATGAGACGCACATCTTGCAACATTGTATAATCCATTCTCCTTCGGGAGCCAGAGACGGGTCATCGCAAGATTAGGACATGTGCCAGGACACAGGTCTTGGCGAACATTATACATACATACATACTTTGTATGTTAGGCAGTGATCAAGGTCCCAGGACCAAAACGTTTTCTAATAAATATATCCTAGTGTTTGCTCACGTGTCTTTCTAAACCACCCTCGGAAGTGTGGCTGTTGCGAGACGTAAACTTGGTAAGTTATCAGAGATAACCAAGGTTCTTTGTGGCAGGTATCGGTGCTATGACAAATACAACAACGTGATCGAGCAACCAGCAGGAGGCGGGTGTAGTAAGTATACTTAGTCTGTGTACCGTTTTTGTTTTGTACCTTTCTCGTGTACCGTAGTTGTAGGGGATACAGCTTGACACATGGTTATGCTGATATTTGCATGTCGTATCACACACACACACACACACACACACACACACACACACACACACACACACACACACACACACACACACACACACACACACACACACACACACACACGACATGACTGAAGGGATAGACTCAGAAGTGTCCCTATTTCCAGACGATGTGAAGTAAATGAGAATTCAGTCGGATGATCAAACAGGACTACAAAGGGATTTGGACAGAATGCAAGCCTGGTCCAGCAACTGGCTCCTAGAGTTTAACCCCAAGTGCAAAGCCATGAAGATTGGGGAAGGGCAAAGAAGACCAGACAGAATACAAGCTAGGGGGGACAAAGACTGCAAACCTCATTTAAGAAAAAAGATCTTCTTGGGGTAAGTAAAATACCAAGCATATCTCCTGAGGCGCAGTTCAACTAAATAACTGCTGCAGCATATGGGCGCCTGACCAACTTAAGAATAGCTTTCCGACACCTCAGTAAGGAATCGTTAAACTAGATATCTCGAAGGTGGTGGACCCAGATAATATCTCCCTCGGGATCCTGAGAGAGGGAGCAGATGTACTGCATGTGCCACTTAACAATCTTCAATAAATCTAATGAAACAGGGCAACTGCCTGAGGTATGGAAGACAGCAAATGTAATCCCGATTTATAAGAAAGAAAACAGACAGGCTGCACTAAATTACGGACCAGTGTTGCTGACATGTATAGCATGTAAAGTTATGGACGAAGATTATCAGAAGAGTGGCAGAGCACCTAGAAAGGAACGAGCTCATACATGACAACCAGCACGGCTTCAGGGAAGGGAAATCCTGCGTCACAAACCTACTGGAGTTCTACGACAAGGTAACAGAAGTAAAATAGGAGAGAGGGATGGGTAGACTGCATCTTGAACTGCAAGAAGGCTTTCGACACAGTACCACACAAGAGACTGGTTGAAAAGTTAGAGGAGCAGGCAGGAATAGAAGGGAAATTACTGCCATAGATCAGGGAATACCTGACAGGAAGGAAACAACGTGTGTTGGTACGAGATGAGGTGTCAAAGTGGGTGCATATGTTGAGTAGGGTTCCACAAGGGTCAATCTTAGGTCCTGTGCCGTTTCTTGTATATGTGAATGACATGACGGAAGATAAGGACAGAGGTAACCCTGTTCGCAGACGATGTGAAGCTAATGAGAATACAAGCGGACGAGGATCATGTAAGCCTACAATGGATCTGGACAGGCTGTAAGCCTGATCCGACAAATTTCTCATATATTCCTAAATACTGCCTTTATATAGGTCTAGTTGCAGTTGTAGTGGTATAATATATAACTCATTTAGCCACAACTTCATAAAGGTATCGTACAGTTACATGTACACAAGGTTAAGTGGCTGCAGTCAGTGATTGCAACATCATCGATAAAATATATAACCATTAGTAATAAGTAAATAAGTAAGTTTATTCAGGTATAGGTATACATAAATAGTTACATAAATTATCATACACAGCAGTACATGGGTACATTACCTATAACCCAAAAAAAAGTCTGAGTGACTAATTTCTATTTAGGTTCTAAACCCATTCGGATACAGCTGTATAAAGGTACACATGGTTGATTGCAACATGATGATTGCAACTAGCTTAGTGGAATACAGTGTTAGGCGGTTAGTGGAGATATAGGTGTTAAAGGATATCTGGGAAATTCATGAATTATCTAATTATTATGTCTTAAATAATAATCGGAATACTATGGAAGATTTATAAATAATACAGGTATAATAATTAATAATCAATACTGCTGGCTTAGCGCTTCTTTTTGATTATAATAATAATAATCAATACTGAGGATATTGGTAGGCAGTATGTAGGAATATATGATGAGACTTTTCTGAATATTTCCTGGAACATTCTAGAAACTCCCGTGACGGTATTTTAGGCTGGCAAATTAGCTCATTCGGTTCTTTCATTAATTAGAAGGTTTACACATTATAGCATCATGCTGTATGTGTATTATCCACTACTGCAACGTAATTTCTTATGTCACATGACTTATTGGCAGCGATTAGAAGAAGCTTAGGGCTGACTATTACATCTGTTTTTAGTTTCCCGCTTTCTGTAAATTTGGAGGCCCTCGTCTACCCTACCCAATATGTGGAGGGGCGTTAAACAAACGGACTAGTGTTTCTCATACTCTGATAGAAGCTGTGGTTGTCACCCACGCCACCCTACTCTGAGAAAACTTCCTCTCATTTCTCTTGTTGCTACTCTAGCAACATTACATAGCTCCTATTGATGCACCGAGAAATGTAAAAGTACTTGAACTTAAGATTTCCACCCCCCCCCCGTGGCTTGTCTTGCATTGTTAAGATCGACTGTCTGCGATCGTCTTACACACACACACACACACACACACACACACACACAACACACACACACACACACACACACACACACACACACACACACACACAGATTGGGGAAGGGCAAAGAAGACCGCAGACGGAGTACAGTCTAGGGGGCCAGAGACTACAAACCTCACTCAAGGAAAAAGATCTTGGGGTGAGTATAACTCCAGGCACATCTGAAGCGTACATCAACCAAATAACTGCTGCAGCATATGGGCGCCTAGCAAACCTCAGAACAGCATTCCGACATCTTAATAAGGAATCGTTCAGGACCCTGTACTCCGTGTACGTTAGGCCCATATTGGAGTATGCGGCACCAGTTTGGAACCCACACCTAGCCAAGCACGTAAAGAAACTAGAGAAAGTGCAAAGGTTTGCAACAAGACTAGTCCCAGAGCTAAGAGGTATGTCCTACGAGGAGAGGTTAAGGGAAATCAACCTGACGACACTGGAAGACAGGAGAGATAGGGGGGACATGATAACGACATACAAAATACTGAGAGGAATTGACAAGGTGGACAAAGACAGGATGTTCCAGAGATTGGACACAGTAACAAGGGGACACAGTTGGAAGTTGAAGACACAGATGAATCACAGGGATGTTAGGAAGTATTTCTTCAGCCACAGAGTAGTCAGTAAGTGGAATAGTTTGGGAAGCGATGTAGTGGAGGCAGGATCCATACATAGCTTTAAGCAGAGGTATGATAAAGCTCACGGTTCAGGGAGAGTGACCTAGTAGCGATCAGTGAAGAGGCGGGGCCAGGAGCTCGGACTCGACCCCCGCAACCTCAACTAGGTGAGGTGAGTACAACACACACACACACACACACACACACACACACACACAACACACACACACACAACACATAACAATATATATATATATATATATATATATATATATATATATATATATATATATATATATATATATATATATATATAATTAGTGATGTGAAAATTTGTCTGGACTGCCTCCAAGTGAGTCGCCTACCCTGGCAAACTCTGTTGACACCGAGCTCTGAGGTCGGTACCTAAGCCTCACAAGTGGCTTATAGGACAGATTTTCACAAATGATTGATGTTGCAAGAAACTCGTCTGCATGCAGGTATAAAGGACTAACTTACTTGGTGTTGCAGCATATATCCTGATCTTCAACTTCCCTAAGCTTAGCCTTAGCCCCTCTGGACTTTCCCTCAGAAACCACGTGCAACCGGGAGCCTTAATTCCTGCAATATTCAATCGTTATTAGTGACCTGCCTGCACCTCAGAAATTCCTATATCCAAGGGGGTGTGTATCCCCTAGTACAACTATGCAGACACGGACACTAGCTTCTAGGTAGACAAGAGACACTGGTACGTACTGGGCATGCACTGCCAGCTGCATACAGGCCCACAGTTCAACTCACTCACAATTTTTCCCCAGACACTGGCCAGAAATCCTAAGAGAAAGTGGAGGTTTTGTCTTACTGTATGGGTCTGACGGAGGAGGTCATCTACGGTACATCGAGGTGCCTCTACCAGATTTCCCCAGGTCTCAAATGTGAAGACACATGGGGGGCGCCGTCTGCTGATCATGGCACGTCTTGTCCAGTTGGTGTCTGCCTACAGAAGGACACTATTGTGTCTTTGAGACCCATGCCTCGTAGTTCAAACTAGGGCTGCCAGTTCTCCCTAGCTAACTTATCCTAGTGTTTGCCTACATTATCGGCCTATTACTACCTATGTTAAGGTCTTAGGTCTACATTATTATTATCTACAGTTGCCTCAATAATCCTAATATTAGTGTACTAACATTAAACTACCTACTTCTTCCCTGAAGGGTAAATCTATAAATCAATAAGTGCCTACCATCCACGCCAACTCGGGAGAGAACGCTTTTGTTTGGGTGGGTTTAAGGGCCACCCAGCTCAGCCGTTCCATTACGGCCTTGCTGGGATCCCTTGGTACGCCGTATCTGTCCTGTGGAACTTTAGGAACCAAATAAATTTCTACAAGTGACAAACACGTAACAATATATACTAGACATGTACATGTATCTCATGTGCACCTCATGTAATGTACATGCCATCTTTCTATCAACAACGTAGCTCTTAAATCTTTTGTACCATATTATGTAATAATACGTATATACAAATATATCTTCAATCTTCCCAATGTTCCGTTGTCTTCTGGAGCAGACTGCGCTAGAGACCAGAAGCTGTACCAGGAGAGCCATGTTATAACTACCCTCACCTGCGAGACCCTTGATGAAGCACTCGCTGGTGTTTACCTGCCCATCCAGAGTAGAGGAGACACTGTGTTTTGTGTGGACCAGGACGGTGTCAGAGCTGGACCAATAGTGAGTGTGTTTCATATTGTCTGGACCAGGACGGTGTCAGAGCTGGACCCATAGCGAGTGTATTTCATATGTATTATCTGGACCAGGACCGTGTCTGAGCTGGACCCATAGCGAATTTCACTGTACAATGTTTGAGTGATACAGTGTGTAAAGGATACAATGTATTAGAGATGCAATGTATGAGAAGTACGGTGTATGCTGGTAGTGGGGGATACAATGTGACAGATGCAGTGTTGGGATATGTAATGGGTGGGTTGTGTAAGGAATGGGGTTTACAATGAAGAATTACAGTTAGAGACTAGCACAAGGAGCAGGTACCACACGAAGACGTGAAGCCCAGAAGCTGAATCTCAAATTCCAACAAATTCAACGCATGTATCCTGTAGCTCGATCGCTACCGCACTCAGCTCATACACTGTGGTCCGGGGGTCGATCCCCCGGTACGGCTGAAAACATTAGGACGTGTTTTCTTAAGATACCTGCTGTCTATGTTCACCCATCAGTTAAATAGGTACCTGGGTGTTAATCGACTGGTGTGGGTCGCATCCTGGAACAAAATTGGCCTAATTTGCCCGAAATACTCCGCATAACAAGGAGCTTTCTATACAGTAGTATGTTAATGATAGTCACTTAGGCCTGTATACCTTGTACATGTATTTGTAGAAATAAAGATTATTATTATTAGAATATACAGCACCAGCGTGGAGCCCCTCTTTGATCAAGCACTTTAAAAAATTTGAAAATGTCTAATGGTGTACAACCAGACTACTCCCAGAGCTGGGAAGTGTGTACTTTGAGAATAGAGGAAAGAAACCGGACTTGAATTTAGTAAAGGAAAAGGCTATGCGAGACATAATTACATCATACAGGATTCTTGGGTACTGATAGGGCTGATAGGGAGAGATTAATGGAAATATAAGAACCAGACGCAAGGGAACATTGATAAGATATGATTTTGGTGGGATTGAGGGTTAGCCACCCAGGATTACTTAATAAAGTCAGTGCGTTATAGAGGACTGTCTGGTTTTAATTACATTGTGGTCCTCTAATCTTGTCCCCCAGGATGCAACCCACATTAGTCGACTAACACCCAGGTACTTACTAATAGGTGAACAAGGGTAACAGTTGTAAGGAAACATGTCCAATGTATTACCAGTGTCGAGGATAGATCCCTATCCCTCAGTGTGTGAGCTGAGCACGTTACCAACCAAGCCACGAGCATTCGTGATAGAAGCTTAAAAACACATTTGCATCAGTCTCATTACAGCAGGGAAGTGTCATCAATTAGAATGGGATGTGATGCAGTTTTAAAAGAAGGTGTGATAGAGCTCAAGTAGCCAGAAACCTATAATGCCGATAGACAAAGTTAAAGAAGCGGGGCCAAAAGCTGAGGATCAACCAGTAGACACAATTCGGTCCCTCAGTGATCAGTACTCGAACTACTTTATATATAAACGACCTGCTAGACGAGCTTGAATCCTCTGTATTGCTGCTTGCCTTTGATTTCAAACTAATGAAAAAAAAAACAGTAGACAGGTGACAAAGTACAAGAGTGGTCAATGTAAGGTCACGCAAATCAGGGAAGGTGGAAAAGCAAAGTACAATATAGGTGGGCATAAATTACAAGTATCGCTCTAGAAGATCTCCAAGCGAATATCACAAAGACCATGTCCCGTATGGTGTCCCGTAGCTCGATCGCTAGCGCACTCGCCTCACACACTGAGGTCTGGAGTTCGAATCTCCAGTACGGCTGGAAAATATTAGGACGTGTTTTCATAAGACACCTGCTGTCCCTGTTCACCCATCAGTATTAGATGGGTACCTGGGTGTTAGTCGACTGGTGTGGGTCGCATCCTGGGACAAAACTGACCTACTTTGCTCGAATTGTTCTGCACAACAAGCGGCTTTCTATATAGTAGTGTATGTCATTGATGTCAGCTAGGCTTGTATACCTTGTACATGTACTTGTAAAAATAAGGATATCATTATTATTATATTACCGGAGATACACATACACATAGCCTTGTTAGTACATACGAGAGTAATAAACCTGAGAGCTGGCTTCAAGCACATAGATTATTTAGGGCACATCAGGACTATCATAGAGCTTCAGCATGATGCCAACAGCTAATAAAGCATATATAGAAGCTCGAGAAAATTTAGTGGGTAACCAAAGTAATCGTAGAGCTGAAAGCCCTAATTCACCACGAGGCTTGTCATGGACCGAACCACGGGGGCGTTGACCCCTAGAACACCCTCTTAGTATATTCCATGTATACGAGGAGACTACATGATTAAGACGTGCAAATGCTTTCAGGATTTTGAAAGGCGGATAAGGGTAGATTATTCGAAACACGATAAGGAGCTAGAGAAACATAGGTGGACGCTAAAAAATACAGATGAATCAGAGATGTTAGGAAATGCTTCTTTAGCAATAGGGTGGCAAGAAAGTGGAATGAAGTGGATGAGGATGTAATGAAGGCGAACTCACTAATCAGCAATTCTGGTATATAGTAGCTTAAGAGGTGGGGCCAGGAACCGGGACTCATCCCCACAAACACAATTCACTCTGTACACTTTGTACTCAGACACACACACGTAACTGACTCCATAACCACTCTCCTTCTCCAGGTCTATGCCCCATACAGAGGCTACCTTCACTGCGATAAAGGGACCGATTGCCAGAACGGCAATTACACAGCCTGTGAACAAGTTTGTGATCCATGTCCCACCTCCGCGTACCCAGCCTACACAGTGAACCAGTAGTCTACCCGCCGCAGATGCCATACATAAAAATCGCCGACACAAGATGGGATTGTCTGCATGTACGTTGGTATAAAGCACTAGGAACATGTCTTAAGGATGGGATCGATACTGCCCTATAAGCCTCAAGACTGGAACTGCATCAAAATCAAACGTCAGGACCAGACATGGTTTTGATGGTTACAGCTTACTATGCAATTGTCTCTCTCTCCAGCCAACCCAACCTCCAGAGCATAATTTTTTTTTTTAATTGTGACTTAAGACATCTGATAAGCGACGGTGATGCTAAAATGTGAGCGTTAGTGTTGTGTTATATTCACTTCCTTATTCTTGACAATAGTTAATCTTGTGGTGTTTACTCAATAGACTGATGATAAATTAGACACATGTGCAACTCTTCGCTTGCCTAATTCTTGGGCACGACCTACTTTCACACTGAACAAATGTGACACCACCTATGACTGCTGCACCTCTCCTGCCATACGGTTTATAAGCTGCTTCTCCGCTCACATGCCGTATTCTACTCAAGATTGATGGACTGAACACATCGACTCAAGGTTGAGGGACTGATTACCTCATTCTCCTCCTGTTCTTCAAGTTTCTCCTACGTATGGACTGATGAAGCCACTGTGTGGCGAAACGTTTCCTCAATAAAGATACCCAAGAGTTGCACATGTGTCTAATTTATCAACATGTCGGTTCTCTGAACCATTCATCTACAAACTCAATAGACTCCCCAAAAAAGACAGTAACTTATGCGTATGTGAGTGAAACATAGAAACAGTACTAAGACATGTATTAAGGAGACGTTTCGCTCGCCAGATCGATGTTTTCCTTAAATGTTATAGAATACCAACAAGTTAATGAATAAGATACATGTGCAACAGTTGGGTATCTTTATTATTGAAAAGTTTCGCCTACACAGTAGGCTTCTTCGGTCAAATACAGACGTAGCAGCGAAGTTAAGATGATGAAATCAGTCCATAAGCCTTAGAGAAATAGTATTTGGGGTAGTCAGTCCCTCAGCCTGGAGGAGAGCTCAGCTCCATGGTCTGGAATGATACCAATATATCGATATATCAACGATATATCGTATGGAACGATATATCGTTCAAGATCATGGCGTTGAACTCTTCTCCAGGCTGAGGGACTGACCAACCCAAACACTATTTCTCCAAGACTGATTACATCATCTTCATTTCACTACTACACCTGCTGCCTCTGTATCTGACTGAGGAAGCCTACTGTCTAGGCGAAATGTTTCATCAATAAAGATACCCAACTGTTACACTTGTGTCTTACTCATCAACTTGTGGGAATTTTATAATATCTTCAGCACAGCTGTGAAATACAAAAGCAAAATACTGTATATAATAAGTATATATAATTATCGCACATCACAAGACTAAGGAAAAGTAGAGACATGTAGTATAATGCGAATCTTTATTGACAACGTTTCGCTCACACGGAGGGTTTTATCAGGTAAGAAACAGATCAGTTTGTGACTTGATAAAGCTATGTGGGCGAAACGTTGTCAATAAAGAGTCGTATTACACGGTATTTGTGTCTACTTTTCCACTGACTATTTTATACAATTTATCTCTGTCATAAGACTAAATTGAAAAAATCAATTTAAAAAAAAAGAAACACTATTATAATGATAAGCGTGAATCTGGTGACTTGAAATATTATGATGTACTATTTATCCTGAGTTAAATAAAAAAATTTTTTGTAAATAAGCCTATTTTGTAGTGTTTATAGTCTATCCTGGAGATCTCTTATGTTTCGTATGAGGAACTAACAACAGAATACTCCACTCCTTCTTTTCATTTAATGTCAATATGAGTTATAGTAAAAATTAAGTGAAGCGGTAAACGCGTATGAGTCACTAGCTACATGTACATGGAGGTGTATTTCTCAGTGTTGATACACTAAACGTTGAATTGAATTTCTATTTTAGGGATTAAAATCGTTTTAACTGGTGGTGAATAGATTAGATTAGGTAAAGTTTGCCAGGAAACAGGACAAGTGTTTCTTGACGCGGGTCTTAGTTATATGATGTCCCGCAGCTGGAGCTTTTGGTCATCAGGCCGAGGCCTTCCACTGGCTTACCCGTCCACTCCTTTAAAAATTATGGTTCTAACAGTGAGTGAACAGGTGATACGTAGACTTACTGTCCATTTCCAAGTCAATAGGCTTTAAACTTCATAAACCAACCCATGGGGCGTTGACCCCCAAAACCCCCTCCAGATATACTCCAGATATGCTTCATCCAACGCAAGGAATAGTAGAGGCTCGATCCTTCGTCCGCTATTTGTCAGACACACACGTTACATATTTACAGACACCTGTTACCTTACAGCGAGTGACAGTGACAAGGGTACCGCCACACCCTGTAATTACGTTATCAGGTTTGGATTAGTGTGGACAAATTCCTCACCTGTCTAGAGTTAGTACGTGTACTGCTGTACCAGCTGAAGCATAACACTCCACACACTCTCTTCTGAGTTCAGCACAGGTAAGCAAGGCACCCAACAGATATATTATATATATATATATATATATATATATATATATATATATATATATATATATATATATATATATATATATATATATATATAATATTAAATGCTGTAAAGAGTTTTTATGAGGATAGTGAGGCTCAGGTTAGGGTGTGTAGAAGAGAGGGTGACGACTTCCCGGTAAAAGTAGGTCTTAGACAGGGATGTGTAATGTCACCATGGTTGTTTAATATATTTATAGATGGGGTTGTAAAAGAAGTAAATGCTAGGGTGTTCGGGAGAGGGGTGGGATTAAATTATGGGGAATCAAATTCAAAATGGGAATTGACACAGTTACTTTTTGCTGATGATACTGTGCTTATGGGAGATTCTAAAGAAAAATTGCAAAGGTTAGTGGATGAGTTTGGGAATGTGTGTAAAGGTAGAAAGTTGAAAGTGAACATAGAAAAGAGTAAGGTGATGAGGGTATCAAATGATTTAGATAAAGAAAAATTGGATATCAAATTGGGGAGGAGTATGGAAGAAGTGAATGTTTTCAGATACTTGGGAGTTGACGTGTCGGCGGATGGATTTATGAAGGATGAGGTTAATCATAGAATTGATGAGGGAAAAAAGGTGAGTGGTGCATTGAGGTATATGTGGAGTCAACAAACGTTATCTATGGAGGCAAAGAAGGGAATGTATGAAAGTATAGTAGTACCAACACTCTTATATGGGTGTGAAGCTTGGGTGGTAAATGCAGCAGCGAGGAGGCGGTTGGAGGCAGTGGAGATGTCCTGTCTAAGGGCAATGTGTGGTGTAAATATTATGCAGAAAATTCGGAGTGTGGAAATTAGGAAAAGGTGTGGAGTTAATAAAAGTATTAGTCAGAGGGCAGAAGAGGGGTTGTTGAGGTAGTTTGGTCATTTAGAGAGAATGGATCAAAGTAGAATGACATGGAAAGCATATAAATCTATAGGGGAAGGAATGAGGGGTAAGGGTCGTCCTCGAAAGGGTTGGAGAGAGGGGGTAAAGGAGGTTTTGTGGGCTAGGGGCTTGGACTTCCAGCAAGCGTGCGTGAGCGTGTTAGATAGGAGTGAATGGAGACGAATGGTACTTGGAACCTAACGATCTGTTGGAGTGTGAACAAGGTAATATTTAGTGAAAGGTTTCAGGGAAACCGGTTATTTTCATATAGTCGGACTTGAGTCCTGGAAATGGGAAGTACAATGCCTGCACTTTAAAGGAGGGGTTTGGGATATTGGCAGTTTGGAGGGATATGTTGTGTATCTTTATATGTATATGCTTCTAAACTGTTGTATTCTGAACACCTCTGCAAAACACCCTGCCTCGGTGGAAGACGGCCGACTTGTTGAATATATATATATATATATATATATATATATATATATATATATATATATATATATATATATATATATTACCAGTATTTTGCGACAGTTTATTTTTTCCACTAAAATTTGTATGTTTCTGGTTTAAAAATCATCAATTTAAATTAAAAGTACCAAAAGTGATTTATTAGCTAGTTCATGAGGTGGTCCCAGGTTGTCGCTCGTCAGTCTCACACACCAGCTACGCTGGTGAGGGATTTCACTGTAAAAACCTGCATTAGTGGTCACAGTGAGGGGCCCATGCTAACCTCCCTGTGGTGTACAGAGATATACAATGTAAATGATTTGCAAAACCGAGAAGTTGAAGGATTAGACACTTTTTGCAACATTTGGGAATGTTTACTGTGGAAACGTCTCGCCAACAAGTGGCTTCCTTAAACCTGTTCAGAGGTGAATGTTGGAAGATGAGGTAATCAGTCCCTCAGCCTTCTCACCTTCCACAGCACAGCACCGTGTCCTTCTTTGCTGATGATACCAGGATGTGCATGACAGTGTCATTCATTGAGGACACTACAAATCTCCAAGTACACATTAACCAAGTCTTTAAATGGGCCTCAGAAAACAATATGAGTTCAATTAAGATAAATTTCAATTATTCCTCTATGGAAAACTCGAGGAAATAAAAACTGTGACGGAGTATAAAACAAATTCCAGTCACACATTAAAGCGAGAAACTAATGTGAAGGACTTGGGAGTGATAATGTCAGAGAATTTCACTTTCAAAGAGCACAACAATGTATCTACCACATCTAGGAAAATAATAGGATAGATAATGAGAACCTTCAGATCTAGGGATACCAAGACAATGATGATTCTCCTTAAATCGCTTGTTCTCTCTAGGCTGGAATATTGCTGTACACTAACGGCCCCTTTCAAGGCAGGCGAAACTGCTGACCTGGAAAATCTAGAGAGAACTTTCATTGCATGTATCAGTACAATAAAGCACATAAATTACTTGAAACGGTTGAAGTCCCTTGACCTGTACTCCTTCGAACGCAGGCGAGAAAGATACATGGTAATATGCACTTGGAAAATCTCAGAGGGACTAGTCCTAAACCTGCACACGGAGATCACTCCTTGGGAAAGCAAGAGATTGGGCAGGCGGTGCAACATTCCCTTGCCGAAGACGCCATGAGTACGCTGAGAGACAACACACTGTTCAACTGCCTCTCAGCATACATAAGGGGGATTACCAATAGACCCCTGGCTGTCTTCAAGAAGGCGCCGGACAGGCACCTAAATTCAGTACCTGACCAACCTGGCTGTGGTCCGTACGTTGATTTACATGCGGCCAGCAGTAATAGCCTGGTTGATCAGACCGTGATCCACCGCGAGGCCTGGTCATGGACCGGGCCGCGGGGGCGTTGACTCCAGGAAACGTTTCCACAATAAAGTTTTTCAAACGTTGCAAAAGTCTCTAATTCTTCACAGACATATACCATGTTGGATGAATCTTATTAGAACCAGCTGGCCGGATGAGTTTCAGGACTCACTTACCATGGGTTCAACTCCCACCCGTTCCCTGATAAGTTAACAAAGTTTGCAGCTGTGAAGCTTAAGCTTTACTTGATAAACTTATCTCTCTAATTTTGTTTCAGAAAAGAAGTTGTTATAAAGACTGGAGGTGTTAAAGATAAACACTAGAAAATACAGCAGTGGAGGCTGAACCACTGGAGAAGAGGTGGCAACACAGGCAAGAGAAAGGGGTGGAAAGCAAGGTAAAATACCAGGAAAGGAAACGCTGAGAAACAAAACCATAAGGAAGAAAAGCTGCAAACAGAGTTTCGGAAAAAGATAAGAGCGGGAAATAATCCCGCTAAAGAAGAGAGGAGGAGGAAGCAGTAATCTCTGTGCAGTGATACTGATGATGATTGTGGGATGGCTGTTAGTGCTAGTACTGGTGACGCAGGCCGTGACGCAGGCCGTGACGCAGGCCGTGACGGAGTCAGTGACGGAAGCGGTGACGAAGGCGGCGACAGAGGCAGTGATGGAAGCGGCGACGGAGGTGGTGACGGAAGCGGTGACGGAGACAGTGACGGAAGCGGCAACGAAGGCGGTGACGGAGGCAGAGATGGAGGGAGTGACGGAGGCAGTGATGGAGGTGACGAAGGCAGTGATGGAGGTGACGAAGGCAGTGATGGAGGTGACGGAGGAGGTGACGGAGGCAGTGATGGAGGTGACGGAGACAGTGACGGAGGTTAGAGCACTACAACAGACGACACAAAGTGACCACGGCATCTCACACTTCAACCAGCTCATCAAGAACAATTCTCGTCTTGTAAGTATTATCACCGGGGCAGAGGGGGTTACTTGATGCTGGCGAAGGATCATGATCCAGGGAATTGGAACCATCCTCCCTTTTCCTGGATTGAACCCGTATGCCGCCCTTCCTCGATTTTCATAACTTTTCTTTGCATTAGTAGGGCATTTATGTGATTTATTTTGCCGTTATAAGAAGAGAGATTTTGACTCAGGTATTCGTGCCAACAGGTGTGTTTCTACATCAAGTGCCAGACACCTGTGGCTGCTAGTGACTGCTCATCAGGCACTGTCTACGTTGAAGGTGCCGCCCAGTTAGGTTGTTGTGGCATGTGCGTCAGATTCAGACGTAAGATACGTTGACCACACGTATAATTATGTTTAATAACTTTATGTGTGTGTGTGTGTGTGTGTGTGTGTGTGTGTGTGTGTGTGTGTGTGTGTGTGTGGTGTGTGTGTGCGTGTGTGTGTGTGTGTGTGTGTGTGTGTGTGTGTGTGTGTGTGTGTGTGTGTGTGTGTGTGTGTGTGTGTGTGTGTGTGTGTGTGTGTGTGTGCGTGCGTGTGTATGTATGTACGTATAAGTATTCACGGGGAAGCTCTAGAACTGTAAGGCTTACACAGTGCCTCGGTTAAATCTAGGTTATAGGTTACATCTAGATTATGTTATATCTACAAGATGTATCATAAAAACGTTGTACTAACAACCTTGTGCTCTCAAGATTACTCTAAATCTGCCTTATATGTCATGTATATTATTGCTGTTATTATTATTATTATTATTATTATTATTATTATTATTATTATTATTATTATTATTATTATTATTATTATTATTATTATTTTTATTATTATTGTTATTATTATTATTATTATTATTATTATTATTATTATTATTATGAAGTTTACAGTTCAACGTTCAACATTTTTTTTACCAAACTGCGACAGGCCAGGGTTCGACCCCACGACACATTGTCCCGCCTCAAGGGACCACACAATGTACATATTACCTTATCCACTCAGCCACTGATCCTACAAACATTGTTTTGTGGTTTCGTATGTATATGTATATATAGATTATTTAACTTCACACTTGACAGAGTTGCAAGAGAGATGCACAGGGTCAGTAGACCCGGTATACGGTGGAGACTACGGTTTTTACCCTCCGGGTTCTAAACCCATCAGTCACTTGACGGTAGATGATGTGGAGGAGAACGTGGTGGCCTCCTTCTGGTGTGACTTCAACTTGTACTGTGCGATCGGCGGTGGCAGATGCGGGAGGAACAGTAAGTAACACACCTCTCACTCATGTTCTTCTTTGTGTGTTGTTCTTCGTGTGTAAATTGTTGGATAAATAAATAATTTTTAAAGGGGTGGACGGGAAAGCCAGTGGAAGGCCTCGGTCAGATGACCAAAAGCTCCAGCTGCGGGTCATTATATGACTAAAACCTGCGTCAGGAAACACTTATCCTGTTTTCTAACAAACCTACCTAACCTAACTTAGTTCTGACTCCTGTTCTTCGTTGTGTGTTGTTCTTCGTGTGTAATTTGTTGGGCAAAGAAAGAGAACTAAATGATTAGTATAATGAAAACTATAATATTGTAAGGGGTGGACGGGTAAGCCAGCGGAAGGCCTCGTCAGATGACAAAAGCTCCAGCTGTGGGTTATATGACTAAGACCCGCGTCAGGAAAAACTTGTCCTGTTTCCTGACGAACCTTAACTAAACTAAGATTAAGAGTGTTTTTGAAACCTAGCAAAGCCTAGCGAGGATGCATGTTAGCATGTAGTTACCAGAGTTATATAGTATAGTAAGAAGGACCCCCATCCCTCTCTCTTCTCCCATGAGAATAATTATTATATTAACAGGAAAATTATTATTACAATAAAAACTAAACGCTAAACACACAAGGGTATTAACAGGAGAAACGCAAAGCCCGAAGGATCTTGCAGCGTCTGGGAATAGGAAATAATCGGCTTTGATTCTATGACGAGGAGATTAGCTCCAATTCCTTGGATAAAAAGCTCTTCACCGGCACCAAGACGCGACAATACACAGTATAATCGTTATTACATTTTTTTTTTGTTAGCCTTATTTTGATCTGTGTTTAGGTTCAAAAGTTCACAACCAAGTGATGAGTAAGACTCGTGCAACACTGGAGTATTTTGCTTGCCGAAATGTTTCACCTGCGCAGTAGGCTTCCTCAGTGGAATACAGACGAATATAACATTGGAGACATTAAAAGAAGTAATTTTGAGGTGGTCAGTCCTTCAGCCTTTTTAGGTGGTTAGTCGTTCAGTTTCAGAGTGACTGACTACACCCTATCATGGCTGAGAAGTATTACCTCAAAATTACTTCCTAAGTCTGCTAGTCACAAGTTCAACCCAGCGCCTCAGTGTGGCCATCCAGAGGGGAAACGCTTGCTGCATACTTGGCTCGCGTCCGGTTTCGGAGGAGCTGGAGGAAATTCATAATCTTTGATATAATGTACCAATGTATTTAGTTTTGTATTTTTTTTTGTCAGTGTATTGTCTATAAATAAAGTTCACATAGAATATAGAATATAGGGGGTGGTAAGAGAAGAAAATATTCAAACAGCTCAGGGGAGAACCTTGAGTTTTTCCTGAAGTACGTTTATTCTCTTCTCTGAGGATGAGGTTCCCCAGTGCAGTTCTAGAGGTGGTACCTCCTTTTTATATGTACATATATATATATATATATATTATATATATATATTATATATATATGATATATATATATATATATATATACTTCTTGATTTACCGGTACCCTCCTGGCCCGGGCCTTTTCCAAGTGGTGGCCAGGCCTTGGCTCCCTTTCTCGGGAGTATCTCAGACTAATGTCTGCCATGGGAGGAGGTACAAGTACCTCCTCATCATCGTTGGGACCAACTGTCCTCAGGCCTAGCCACATTCCCCGCCTTCACTGGGCTCGTAAGGACAAGCTAGGCCTCTCTGGTCTGCCATCCCCGCCCCAAGGGGGCTAACAGGAATGGCAGTCTTGTGAGCTGCAAGCTCTGGCTCAGGCACCTACCCTGCCCTAGAAGGGCTGGCCATGGTGTCGATCATATTATATATATATATATATATATATATATATTATATATATATATATATATATATATGTATATATATATATATATATATATATATATATATATATATATATATATATTATATTATATATATATATATATATATATTATATATATTATTTCAGTGTATGAACCTTTGAACCACCTGAGCTTTTCAAGTTATATTTATTTTGTATTTACGTACAATGAAATATTTATTTTTTTTGTGATACAGCTTTTTATTTGTGAAACGTAACAGCAAAAGCTCTATTTTGCTAAGTGCCTTTTTTTTAACTACCCTCATTATCTATCAAGGGTAGACTAGCTGCTAACCACAGTTATCCCTGACAGATTCCATCAGTGGGTGTCTTCATGTCCAGCAGATGTATGATACCGCAGTTAGCGACCCGACTAAGTACGTTGCATACAGAGATGATTACCGCTGGCGCCCTGAGTGTACCGCTGATGGCTACTACACTGAGAAGCAGTGCAAGGGACTCTATGATGGAAAAAGGTTTGTTGGAATTGAATTAAACACGTATGCAACACCTAGGATTTTTTATTCAAAATAGATATCCAGGTCCCACACATGTCTAATTCACCAACTACTTGGTATTGTATATCATTAATGCAATGACATGAGTTAGTGATATCGTAGTATACAGCGCCAAGGAAGTAATGATGATGGTAAGTATAGGTGACTTAAGAGTCAGTTTGCTAGGTATAGTAAGTTTACTTAGGCACAGGTACATATATGTATTTTTCAAGTGTAAATTACCTCCCACTCCCCAGGCATTATATAACTCTTACGGGCTTTTTAGAGATAAAATAAATCTCAAGTGGGTGTAACTATGTAAATTAAAAGGTTATTGTTACGATACACAAATAACTCGCACATAGAAGAGAGGAGCTTACGACGACGTTTCCGTCCGACTTGGACCATTTACAAAGTCACACTAACGAAAAGGAGAGGAGGAATATATAGGCAGGAGGTGGTAGTGGTAGTAGTAGTAGTAGTAGTGGAGGTAGAAGGTAGTAGTAGTGGGGAAGGCAGTAAAAAGGACCTTCTACCTCCACTACTACTACTACAACTACTACCACCTCCTGCCACCCTTCCTTATCTCATTTTCGGTAGTGTGCCTTTGTAAATGGTCCAAGTCGGACCGAAACGTCGTCGTAAGCTCTTCTCTTCTATGTGCGGTTTTTTTGTGAATCGTTCCAGTCACGGTATTGTGACTTTTTTTGTTAGTTATTGTTACGCAGTGTGCTACAGAACAATATTTATATAAAATAACGCTCCATATATAATGTCATTTTCTGTGTAGTATACTGAAAGCGGACGTGTATTATTCCCTGCAAGTGAACGCGTTTTATTCGTGTCAGTCAGGCAGTGACCAGGACAGGAGCAGATGAGAGTTGTTTATTTAGTTCAGTACGGGTAGGAATGCTGCTGGGTGAAGTAGTCATGGGTTGGTGTTGGTTTGAGTAGGTAATTTTGTAAAGTTTTTTAGTGTATACCATAGGTATTTGTGTTTAAGTGCTCTCGTGTTTATTTGTAAAGCCCTAGTATGCAGGGGCCTGTGTTTTGGAGAGTATTTAACGTTTCCACTGTAGGCTAAGTAGCAGTGTGCTACTGTGAACTGGGGTGTGGTGGTTTTTTGTAATATTTATAAGTTACTATTAATATAGATATATTTTTATAGGTGAGTTTTTGTCCTTCCTAATAATAATCAATATTGTTTAATATACGAGTACATGCTGGCCCAAGGTTCGGTGTGTATTTCAGTGTAATTTTATAACCCCCAGACAGCAATGTGAGCAGCCTTAAGGAGCCAGGAACATTTTATTTAAGTTACGACATCGAAGTCGTAACATTAATGCGTATAACATTTATATTTTTATGAAGTGCTAAACCCATAAGGTCATTCAACAGTGGGGAAGGCTCGATCCTTCGACTAACAGCTAGACATATAATTATATGTAGAATGGTATTAAATGAGAATGGATTTACTGTGTTCAAATATTGTTTCTTCAGCATGGTTGCATAAGAAATTAATTCATATTTGAATATAAAGTAAAATATATGCCATGGGGAAAATGTGTGTATGAGTAAAAACTTCTCAACGTGACCAATACTTCAATGATGTCATCAATATTTTGAGTTTAGGTAAGATTCATCAGGAACAAGACAAATGCGAACTAGCTGACGAGTTTGAAGACAGTAGAACAGTACAGGTAGGAACTAGCACATCTATTGTCCATCATAATGAAATGTGTCAAGTTAAACATATACATGGAGAAAGTAACAAGGTCAGTAAATTATAAGATATTGTTGCTAGACTACGGTGAGGATACAAATATCTCTGGCAGCACGCTCCATATGGAGATGTCAATGACAAAATGCACTGTGTGTGGACATAAGACAAGGCTATACATCAAACACTGTATCTTAGAACTCCCAAACATTCAGCCTTTCAAAGATACCTCTATGCAAATCGTACAGGATATGGCAAAACACGTCATTTTAAAGAAATTTAAAATCTTGAGGTTGTATCTACATTTTGCATGAACTAAATGAATGAACTGATTTTACAGATAAGATTGCAACCCAATTATGACCAATGTTTTACAGTGGTAATAAGATATGAACAAATGAGACTATTCCATTCGGTAATGTGCACGTTAGCATTCTGAAGTAGCTGTAATAGATGAAATGACTAATATTTCTTTTCAGTGATGTAACTGCCCAGTGGGATCTAATAAAGACCCACTGTGACTTCTGTAATCATGATTTTTTTGTGGTATCGCTCACAGGATGAACATGGGGTGCACAATAAAGTAAACGGTCAGGCGACACAACTAACTGACGCGAGTCATAGTCATATGATACCCACTAACTGGAACTTTTTATCATATGACTGAGACCTTCCACTGGCTTACAGGGCACCCCTCTTTAACAATTAAAGAAAGCATCATTTGATGTATCCTAACAATATTAGTAGTGTGTGTAAAGTTAGCAATGTGTGTTTCCTGGCAGGTGTGTGTGTGTTGATCCCCTCGGTAACAGGATCTATGGATCAGCCTTCCGGGAACAAGAGGAGCTCTTCAAGTCTATGAATTGCAGTGAGTTCTCCCCCCCCCTCCAGTCCTCTCTTTACACATGGTTTTACAAGGTTAGGTTAATGTTCCTAACTATTCACAAGTTAAGAATTGTTACCTACAGCTCTTTCGCTCTCTCGTACTTTCTTCCACCATCTTTCTGCCCTGTTATTTACTTCTCTCCTTCCCCTTTTCCGCCCTCTTTTATACTTCCTCCCTCTTTCTGCTCTATCTTTAGGTTTTCCTCATTTTCTCTCTCAGGTGTAACTTGATAATGGAAGAGGACCGACCAAAGAAGTTTTTTCCTAGAAAATATGAGTTATTTGTGAATGGTTAAAACAGCTTAAATTTACAGCACCGCTGAACGCAGACAGGAAGAGTGCCAGTGTATTAACTGACATACAACAGGATGTTCCAGAGATTGGACACAGTAACAAGGGGACACAGTTGGAAGCTGAAGACACAGATGAATCACAGGGATGTTAGGAAGTATTTCTTCAGCCACAGAGTAGTCAGTAAGTGGAATAGTTTGGGAAGCGATGTAGTGGAGGCAGGATCCATACATAGCTTTAAGCAGAGGTATGATAAAGCTCACGGCTCAGGGAGAGTGACCTAGTAGCGATCAGTGAAGAGGCGGGGCCAGGAGCTCGGACTCGATCCCCGCAACCTCAACTAGGTGAGTACAAGAGCCAAGACATCGATGCCTAAGCCGTGGCTGGATTGAGAAATGTGGGAGTAAGAGAACAGAAGCCTAGGAAGGAATGAATATCTCCAAGAATAGGGTATCACCAGAGTACTACAGAAATGTTGTAGTTTGGAACCCAAAGTATAATGAGGAACGTTCATGGAAATCAGAGGAAGCCAAATAGAAGACCAAGAAATATATTATCCCTTCATAAAGAGAAAACCTGATCCGCAACCCAGCCACACCCTAATTGAACACCCTACATAACACAAACGCAGTCAAACTATATTCTCAGTAACTTAAATGACTTTTTTTAAATATTCTCAATATTTAAATTATCCTCGTATGAATGCGTGAAAAAGTAGTGTACATACACTGATTATGTTTTCTTGAATCAGAGTGTTCGCGGCGGGTGTGGGAGTTGACGCAAGCCGGGGCGTCGTCAGTCACTCTGCACTGTCAGGAGAATGGTAACTATGAAGCACTGCAGTGTGAGGACAGCTGGTGTTACTGTGTCAGCCCCGACACAGGCGTACCCTACGGTGCTAGACTTCCCGAGGCTACCATGAACATGCTCCAGTGCTGTAAGCCATAGTTCTGTGTTCTTTTGTCCAGTATATACTATCTTCCAATTATATGTTAGCTAGTATTGTCCGGAGGTCGGAGGCTCCATCCTCACCACTCCTAATATTCAATGACACACAGGTTAACGGTATACACTGTATACACAATGAATGATGTTTAAATTCAGTGAGCGTTCGTGATCTTCGTCACATTCTTAAGGAATGATAAAGGAACAAATGTATATAGTATCTCATATACAGTAGAGATGTCGCATTAGTCGGTAATTCTACCATTATTAATCATATTATCATATTATAACAGTAATAGTAGTAGTAGAAGTAATGATGAAGGTAGCCTATAAGAACTAGAGAACAGAGGAGCACTGCAGGACAGCTAATGGCCCACGGGGGTAGGACAAAATCACTGCAGGATAAAACCCGCATAGGTCAGAACCCACCTAGGAGGAAGACGGAAGAGGTAAGGAGAGGAGGAGATGAAGATCAGGTCAAGTCGCGAGTGTTCTGAAATGTGCAGCATTTGTCAATGTAATGAGAAAGAAAGGCATCTACAGAGACAAAGTCATGACTAAGAATCATATTAGGAGTGTTGTGTATATGGGATGTATCAGCAAGATGGTGTCTGTGAAGGCTAGAAGGGTAGACAGTTTTGGCAGAGGACCAGTTAATAGGATGACTGTGATCTCTAACATGACAAAAAAGAACATTGTTAGTGTCGACAAGGATAATACTTCTTTTGTGTTCTTTATGTCAGAAAGAAAGCCGTCAGTTTCTCCAAAGTATTGGAGAGGATAAGAAGAGCAGGAAATGGAGTAGACTCCGGAAGCATCAGTGGCAGGAGAAGAGGTACGAACTAGATTACTACGAAAGGAAAGTCTGATATCTAAAGAAAGTCATTAAGATTTGGGGGACTGGAAATGCTGGGAAGGCAAATGATAGATTTCACAGGAAAGGAGAGTTTGGGAGAGAGAAAAGTCTGTTTAGAATGTAAGTAATAGAGATTATGAAATCGGAAGGGTAGCCAAGACGAGAATACTAACTGCGAAGAGTGGAAATTTCTGAGTCAAGGAACTGAGGGTGACAGATGCGGAGGGCACGGAGAAAGAGAAACAAGAACACCTTTCCTGACAGAGGGAGCATCGTCAAAACAAGTAGTGAATGTACATACCACTGTGCATTGGCTTGTGATAAATGAAAAAAAGAAAAGACTGTCGCCGAACGATGGGCATACACGTGTCAAGGGAAGGTTGCAGAGAGTTAGCTTCCGACTTAGCTTTGAACTTCGAGGAATGAGCAACATTGTTAAGAACATAGAGAAATGATTAAAAGAGACTAGAGTTATGTAGCCAGAGAGCAAAGACATCTCTGTGGCAAAATTATGTAGATCCTTTCTGTGTAGAATGTTAGGTATTGCTGACTTGTATAGTAGGATGGCATATATTGCTGATGAGACAGGTGGAACACTTGATGCACACCAAAACTTTATATAGACGAAGTTTCCCTCATGATAAAGTTTTATCAAGACTTGATCAAACTCTTATCAAGATTTGATAATGCTCTACCAGAACGAAACATTGTCTTTAGGTTCGCTCTGCATCGAAAGCCTTTCGAATATTAGATTTTTTCTACTTTTATTTCCAGTCCACATTGGTGTTGTGCCTAATCCATTTACTAATTTTGGGCAGACAACAGCACACTCATCGGAGAGCAGTACCTGCGGCGATGTGAGAGTAAATACCATGCACACATGAAACTCAGCGACCTGTTGACCTTCAAGGGTGTGCGGGGTCCAGGTCTGCTCCAGAGATGTGACCCAGACGGTTCCTTTGCCGGCATTCAGGGCGACGCTACGTGAGTTATATTAGGGGCGTACAGTACCGTAGAGTAGATGAGTAAAATGCATGTGCAGCCTCAGTATTCGACTGAAGAAACGTGCTGAGCACGTAAAACGTTTCGACAGTTAAGATAGCCAAGTGTTGCACTTGTGTCTTACCTATATACGTGAGTTGTATGCCGGTTTAAAATGTCGCCATATAATAAAACGTTGGTAAATGGACACAGATGTTATATGCGCAGAAACCTTCATTGATAAATTGCATTTCACCCATGGGGAGTGAACGTGAAACGTTTTGCCACTAAAGACTTCCATGCATTTAGTTCTTCCTGTACGTGAGTTGGTGACCCTACATGGTTATTGAGCACTTAGATTTAAGTTGCTTAATTAGGCATGCAGCCTAGCGATTACACGAGGTTCGTTAGGGCCGCACATCATGTGTGAGTACACACACACACACACACACACCACACACCACAAAACCACACACACACACACACACACACACACACACAACACACACAACACACACACACACACACACACCTGGAAAGGAACAAGATTATAAATGAAAACCAGCATGGGTTCATGGAAGGCAAATCTTGTATCACAAACCTCTGGAGTTTTATGACAAGGTAACAGAAGTAAGACACGAGAGAGGGGGGTGGGTTGATTGCGTTTTCCTAGACTGCAGGAAGGCCTTTGACACAGTTCCCCACAAGAGATTAGTGCAGAAGCTGGAGGATCAGGCGCATGTAACAGGGAGGGCACTGCAGTGGATCAGGGAATACCTGACAGGGAGGCAGCAATGAGTCATGGTACGTGAAGAGGTATCACAGTGGGCGCCTGTGACGAGCGGGGTCCCACAGGGGTCAGTTCTAGGGCCAGTGCTATTTCTGATATATGCGAACGACATGATGGAAGGAATAGACTCTGAAGTGTCCCTATTCGCAGATGATGTGAAGTTGATGAGAAGAATTAAATCGGATGAGGATGAGGCAGGACTGCAAAGAGACCTGGACAGGCTGGACATGTGGTCCAGAAACTGGCTCTCGAATTCAATCCTGCCAAATGCAAAGTCATGAAGATTGGAGAGGGGCAAAGAAGACCGCAGACTGAGTATAGGCTAGGTGGACAAAGACTACAGACGTCACTCAGGGAGAAAGACCTCGGGGTGACCATAACACCGAGCACGTCACCGGAGGCACAAATCAACCAAATAACTGCTGCAGCATACGGGCGCCTGGCAAACCTGAGAATAGCGTTCCGATACCTAAATAAGGAATAGTTCAAGACACTGTACACTGTGTATGTTAGGCCCATACTGGAGTATGCAGCACCAGTCTGGAACCCACACCTGGTCAAGCACGTCAAGAAGTTAGAGAAAGTACAAAGGTTTGCAACAAGGCTAGTCCCAGAGCTCAGAGGAATGTCGTACGAGGAAAGGTTGAGGGAAATCGGACTGACGACACTGGAGGACAGAAGGGTCAGGGGAGACATGATAACGACATACAAGATACTGCGGGGAATAGATAAGGTGGACAGAGATAGGATGTTCCAGAAAGGGGACACAGGAACAAGGGGTCACAACTGGAAGCTGAAGACTCAGACGAGTCACAGGGACGTTAGGAAGTATTTCTTCAGTCATAGAGTCGTCAGGAAGTTTTAAGAAGAGGTATGATAAAGCTCAGGAAGCAGAGAGAGAGAGGACCTAGTAGCAATCAGTGAAGAGGCGGGGCCAGGAGCTGAGTCTCGACCCCTGCAACCACAATTAGGTGAGTACACACACACACACACACACACACACACACACACACACACACACAACACACACACACAACACACACACACACACACACACACACACACACACACACACACAATATATATATATATTTTATATATATATATATATATATATATATATATATAATATATATATAATATATATACATATATATATAATATATATATATATATATATATATATATATATATAATATATATATATATATATATATATATATATATATATATATATATATATATATATATATATATATATATATATATATATATATATATATATATATATATACACACTTTCCAAATGAGAGACAGTAAGCCAGAGTACATAAGTTCTCACAGAACAGTAAGAAAGTGTCATGGGAAAAGGTTGAGGGATATTCAGGTTTAATCCGAGGATAGAGTGGAATCCTGGAAAAAAAGGGACAGTCGGAACGTTAACTAAATAAATGATCTCTTATATATTTATCTACATTGCAGGACACCCTGCTACGACAAGTATGATAATGTCATCAATGAACACAAACCCTCTGGTGGGGGCTGCCGTGAGTACCCTCTTAATTATTTATTCTATCCGGGAGTACCTTGTCCCTCAGTCATTTTATTTCATTAAGTACCGTTACTTTTCAATGCAGTTCCTCTATCCATAAGTACCTCATCCATTTGTTTATTTCTTCTGACTTTCTGTAAGTGTTAGCAACTAGAACCAGAGAACCTCAGGTGAGTCAGCATTAAGGTAAGTTTATTTAGGTACAGGTACACATAAGTACAATAATCATATATAGTTTAACATGTGCAAATTGCCAAGGATAACCAAAAAATAAGTCAGTCAATACTCAGGCCCTGATCCACCATGAGGCCTGGTCACAGACCGGGCCGCAGGGGCGTTGACCCTCAGATCCCTCTCCAGGTATTTCCATTGGGGTCTTTGTAATATATTATTACTTAAAGCCTAACAGTAAGTTACAGTTGGAATCAATCATAATTATAACAAAAATTTAAAACAGGAATCCGCACGACTCCTCTGTTTCCTTATACTATAAATGGGCCACCAATATCTCACAACCGATTAGGCTCAACCTAGTGTTGGTTCCAACGGACATCATTCTCTCAAATCAACAGACAGCTTTACAACACCAAGTTGCATTTCGCGATCCTCTTCCACACATAAACCACTGTTTCTTCCCCCACTTTTGAAACGGGTATAGCGCCAGGGGCTCACAACAGTAGCCCACAGTGTCACACTTCCACATTGTGAATCACTCGGCCTCATGACTCAAGGCAGCCCAGACAACTGGTAGTCCTCCCTGATTCACTGACTCCACACAGGTAATAAACGTACTTCAGTCTGGCAGATCTAAATACTACTGTGGTACATCTTACCCTACAATCCTACCTTCCTTGGTGAAGAACAGAGACTGTCAGGGGGCGTAGCAACTACCCACCCTGGTAGAGTAGTGACTGGAAGGGATGGTAGCAACTACCCTCACTGGTGAGGAAGAGTAGTGACTGGCTGTGGGAATTTATCGAGATCGAGAAATCCCACAAGGCCATTGTAACAAGCAGTAGAGGCCTTTAGAATCTACGCCGATAAAAATATGCAGTGGAAGTCACGAGTCAGCAAATTATTATTGATATGTTTACACTAATTTGATAGATTACAGGTTTACGGTAGAATTAAAAACTAATAATAGAATTAAAAAATATAGTTTTAGGCTTTAATATGTTTACATTAGGTAGAAATGAGTAGGGGGAAAATAGATACGTGGACACCTAGCGATCCTCCAGTGAGTTAGGGAGGAAGTAGGACGCTGGTAGGCATCTTTTGGACAATGAGCTGAGAGCACCCTACAAGTTTCTATCTCTTGAGTCCCACACGGATTCCCAAAGTTACCTGGCACTTAACAGTGTGCTTCAGAGGCCTCCCAACGAATATATGGATACAAGTCTTGGGGGATGGTTCCAACAGTCCTTGCTAGTGAGAGCCCATGTGGAGGCAATTACACATATTTTCATACTGGCAGGGATTGTAGCAACTATGCTCATCTCATCACCTAGCCATTTTTTTAATCTCGGTATTAATCAATCATTTATTATTAATCAATCTAAACTTAGTTCACTCGCTCAGTGTGTACCAGGGACACTACTGTTCGTCAAGAACAAGTAGAACTCATGTGTCACTCTCTCCCTCAGAATGTGCTAGGGATATCCAACTGTTCAAGGACAACAACATACTACTGGATATCCAATGCCGGGTTAGCACTGGCATCTACGATACCAAACAGCAGAGAGATGGCCTTGCTTTCTGTGTAGACGACGATGGAATTCGCTCCGGCCCTTTGGTGTGTAGTGAGGGGGAAGTGTATGGTAGGGGTGAGTGGTAGGGGAATGAGTAGTGGGGGAATGTGTGGGGAGAGTGTATGTCAAGGGAGTGTGAAACATTAGAGATCTTAAAATAGTATTGCACTATATCAGTTGAGAATTAGTTTATTTAAATGTAATTATTTCGTATTTTTTTCCTTTGTAACTGTGTCTAATGCCTTTCTGTAACCCTCCACGCACACAGGTGTTCGTACAGTACATTGAGTATCTCGGGTGTAACAGTTCTATGAAGTGTCAGAACGGCAATAATGATATCTGTGACGGTGCCTGCTCGGGCTGCAGTAATGATGCCTACTACTACTACCAAGCAGAACAGACCTACTTCAAGTACAAATAATGACTGGCTTACTCCAGTACGAGTAGTGACTGAAGTACGCCAAGTAGGAACAGTGACTGAAGTACGCCAAGTAGGAACAGTGACTGAAGTACGCCAAGTAGGACCAGTGACTGAAGTACGCCAAGTAGGAACAGTGACTAGCCTACCTCAAGTACGAACAGTAACCAGCTTACCCCAAGTGACATCTGACATCTGCACCAATCTCGTTCTTCCCTGATCATCGGTGATGAATTTCCCTCATTCTTTTCCTGAGAGACTTACCATGTTCAGTCCGCTGGACAATTAATCAGTCGTGGCGCCATACTTCGGCAATTTTTTTTTCCTCAATACGTAGTTGATTTAGAGAATTGTTTTCTCTCTGCCAATTTTTGTTACAAAGGAGAATGTGGAATGTAATTTTTGCTTGTCAAACAGGAGTTTACGCAATATTGTTAGAAGATAACTGGCTAACTAGTATAAATGAGAACTATCAGATACATTTCACATCATGAAAAAAAAAAAAGCCCACAAGGGCAGATCCAAGTCTTACACAGGAGAGACCATGACCAATGTCTTTTAATATTCTTTTTTAGTTTTTATCCCATACTGTGTAATGTACATTAACTATATGTAATAATTGTAAAATATGAAATAACATTTCTTTCTAGTGATGTAACAGTGCTCAGTGGGTCTGACAAAGACCCATTGTGACTGTGAGAAATTGTGGGTGAATTTAACAGGTACAATCCTGAATTAACATTTCACACACACACCATTCTTACAGTATGCATTACCTTTGTAACTTGTGAGTTCATTACCTTTGTAACTTGTGAGTTCATTACCTTTGTAACTTGTGAGTTCATTACCTTGTACCTAGTTCAGCCATCAAAACTTTGGAGCCCGGTCCCTGGACCCATTGTGTACCTCTGTAATCTGTAAATACCTTTGTAACTTGTCATGATTGTGACTAGACCTACCTGGAGTTCATTACCTTTGTAAATTGTGAGTTCATTACCTTTGTAAATTGTGAGTTCATTACCTCTGTAACTTGCTCAGCTATCAAAACTTTGAGGCCCAGTCCCTGGACCCATTATGTACCTCTGTAATCTTTTGACTACCGCCCACTGGATGGGTATGGGGTGCATAATAAACATATTAAACTTAAACTAACCTGGGGAGAACTCTGCCACATCGAAACAGATTGTACTTAGTGGTACTAGTTGTACCTCGGAGACAGGTGGGACTAACAACAAAGGGTCACATCACTGTCCCTCCCTCCATGTTCACCTCACCTCCCAAAACTCTCACTTCTGGGCCTTAAATTATTTGAACATATAGTTCTAGAATTTTTTAAATAAAATTTTCCAAGTCAGTAAGTAGGTAATAAAAATTAATTTGTAATAAATAAAGAACCAGCGATGGGTGAGCATCCCGGGGGAGGAGTCGCCATGTTTGAATTGACCGAGACGAACGTTATTGAAAAATCGGAAGAATTTTCGTCGCTCTAGGGGTTAAAATTGGGTTTAAAAACCTCAAATAGGAGCCGAAATTGTTGGATTTGCAGTCCTGCAAAACGGAGTTATTACACAGATGGACAGGACAGCTTTGGAACCCCAGCTAAGTCATGTCTATTTTGTGTTAAAAATTCTGGCCAGTATTTTCCTCAAATTTAGGCAAGGGGTTGGTATGACACACCGTTATCTCCAGACTAAATTGGTGAGTCTTGTTATTATAAATTCTCCTTCAATGAAATATGTATTCACATTTTAAAATTTAATATACAGTCCAAACATATTTATATTAATGTTTTACCAGAATTCTGGTGATGTATATTTTCATTTGAAATTAATATAGGTCCAGAGTGACTTGTGGAGATATAGATTTTGTAGGTATCGAAGGAGGACATTTTTGCGGACCTAGGTGTCCTAAAATTCCAACTTGTCTCTGTAACCTTGATAAATTAATAATTATCTTTGTTACCATTTACTGGTATATACTTATGAGTTACATCCAGGTAAATTTAATTTTCCACATATATGTAGATTAATTATATTAAAAAAAAATATGAACATTTAAATATTACTCACCAAATTATGGTCTTGGTGATATATCCTAACGCCTCCCTATGGGTAGGCAACTAATACTTGTCTTTAGATGTTACATTAACTGTAGTGAGATTTAATTTACGATGATATATGTGGTGATCGATGTAGATTCCTCCAGCAACAGCGTTTAATCCGTATTTGATAGTTTCACTTTGTATCTGAACCCTTCCAGATACATGTTAAATCAAACTTATTATGCAATTACACTATATTTTCTCGATACTATTTCTATCGGCTTAAATGAGATGAATTCTCCACAAATTCCCAGCCCGATTTGTATTACTCCATTTTCGTTGCTCTCCTTATTTTTTTTATTTTTCTTCCTCAAGGAAGGTTCCTTGACGCTGGGAGAGGCCTAGATCTAGGGAACTGGATCTGTCCTTCAGTTCCTGAAATTAAGCCTGAATATCTTCACATTCCCCTACAGGCGCTGTATAATCCTACGGGGTTTTGCTCTTCTCCCTCGATTATAATAATAATCCCTACGTTTTCGTATACAGTGACTTTTCAACATTAATGAAGTATGTTTTTTCTTAACCGATACCATAAAAAGAGTAAAATTTTGATGTGAGTTTTTTCTGTGATTTAACATATTTTAAAAGTCACATCCACACCTACACTAAGTTTTGTAATACTCATATTTTTAACTTTTACAGGAAAATTATTAAAAAAAATTACCCCAATAATTCTGTTTTCTTGCATTGACGCTCACAGGCGACATAACTAAATTCCCTGAGCCACTCCGAAAGACTTTTTTTGTTATTACTCATTAAATTGTTATTACTCCTTCACTGATATTACTTATTCAAGTGTTTCTGCTATACTACTGCAAAAAATATAAATTTTTTTATTACATTTAAAATTTAAGAATTCATAATAAATGGGTGCCCCGGCGCACCTTCCTTCTGGTACAATCGTGAGGCTGGACCCTGCTGGCTCAGCTGTCACTGACTAGAAAAAAGCTGATGCATTGGACATTACAAAAAATAACCCTCATAAGAGAAACTTATGACGACGTTTCGGTCCGATTTGGACCACAACGTCGGTGTTTTGGCCTGGGGTTAAAGGTTAATTAAGTTTATTTAGGTACACTTAAAACATAAGTACAATTATCGTACATAGTGTTTAAATTACCTAGGATAACCCCCCCAAAAAAAAAAAAAAAATATATATATATATATATATAATATTTTATATATATATATATATATATATATAATATTATATATATATATATATTATATATATATTTTATATTTTATATATATATAAGTGGCTTATTTCTATTGGGGTCCTTGTTTACCCATTTGGGACCTCGCATCATTTTCTACCCCTCTCCACCCCTGACCCCTCAAGGAAGGTTCCTTGGTGTTGGTGAGGGGCTCTTGATTTAGGGAATTGGATCTGTGCTCCAGTTCTCCGAATTAAGCCTGAAAGCCTTCCACATCCCCCCCCGGCGCTGTATAATTTCCCCCGGGTTTAGCGCTTCCCCCTTTTATTATAATAATAATAATCTCCACCCCTGCACCCTTCCCCGCCCAGGTGCGCTGAATAACCCTTGTAGGTTTAGCGCTTCCTTTCTGATTATAATAATTACCTGCTTGGGCGTCTTTGCTCGTGCCTGGGATCTGTTGCAAATTTACTCGTTTCTGTAGATAAATGGTTCAGAGAACCGACAAGTTAAAAATTAGACACTGTAAACTTTGGGGGTATTTTTACAAAAGAAAAGTTTCGCCAACAGTGGTTATCAGCTATCGAAGAAGAATTGTGACATCAGGATTTCGGGGAACAGTCCCTTGTGGAGTCAATGTAATCGTCCATCAGTCTTGAAAAGAATACAGCGTTTTCACGAAAACTCCCTTTATATACTGTAACAGGGGAGGTGAAGCAGTCGATTGAGAAGGCCATGGTGAAATGCCTATATTTAAATGATGGAAGATGAGGTAGGTGTGTGTGGGAAACAAGCGGGTTGCAACATGGGGTTTGGAAAAAAAAAAAAAGGTAAAAAAGGCATTCAGCATGAATTAAAAATAAAACATAGAACAGGTCAAAAACAAGGGGGAAGCAAGGGCAGCAAGGGACTACTCCTTAAAGGTTTACTATACAAATAGCAGGAGTGTTGAAATAAATAAGAGCTAAGATAATTGCAAGTGTGGGAAAACAAATATTTTTGCTATAACAAGCCCGGGCTCAATCTGATGAAGAGAGATGCCCTCTGAATGTCACATACAAGGCTAAAAAAATTATTCCCACGACGGGTCAACGGGAAAGGTGGGAGTAGCGATGATGTCAGAGCAATTTAAATTTTTGTGTTAGACAAGATATTAAATTAGAACGCGCCCCTGAATTGTTTGGGTTTCAGCTTCTCAGGGCCGAGAAAACTAATTTTGGGTGTGATTTACAGGGCCCCAAATCTTGATAGGGAGTGCAGTAAACTTCTAGGGGACGAAATTCGTAAGGCATCTACATACGAAAATGTTGTGCTAATGGGAGATTTCAACTATAGACAGATTGACTGGAGCAATTTGACAGGAAATTTAGAGTCGGGTGACTTTCTTGATACGATCCAGGATTGTTTTTAAAACAGTTTGTGACAGAGCCAACTAGGGGAAATAACCTCCTTGACTTGGTTCTTGCCAGTGGGGAAAAACACTAATTAATAATCTTGAGGTTAATGATGAGCTTGGGGAGAGTGATCAAAAATCACTCAGTTTTAATATATCAGGGAATTTTCCCCTAATAATGGCAATCAAGTCTCCGTCCCTGACTTTCGCTTGGCTGATTTCATAGGACTGAAATAAAATTACTTAGGTGGGCTAAAACTGGAATGACCTGACTAAGGGTCAGGTAGGTGGTGATGGTTGCGATATGATGCTTTCCAGGGATAGTTCTAGCTGCTCAGTCAAATTATGTTCCAAATAGGAAATCAGATCAAACAAAATGATCCTAAATGGATGAACAATAGATTAAAATAATCTGTTTGGTCAAAAGAGAGGCATATATAGGCAAATCAAAAGAGGGAGGGGCAATTAAGAAACGATATATTCAGTTAAAGAGAGAAATAAAAAAGGGAATTAGAAAAGCAAAAGAGATTATGAGGTTAAAGTTGCAAAAGAATCGAAGCTAAACCCAAAAGGATTCTTTCAGGTATACAGAAGTAAGATCAGGGACAAGATAGGCCCACTCAAAAGTCCTCGGGTCAGCTCACTGACAGTGATAAGGAAATGTGTAGAATTTTTAACACATACTTCCTCTCAGTTTTTACACAGGAGGATACCAGCGATATTCCAGTAATGATAAATTATGTAGAACAGGACGATAATAAACTGTGCACTATTAGGGTCACAAGTGACATGGCCCTTAGGCAAATAGATAAATTAAAACCTAACAAACCCCCAGGCCCTGATGAACTGTATGCAAGGGTTCTAAAGGAATGTAAAGAGGAGCTTAGCACACCTTTGGCTAATCTTTTCAACATATCACTACAAACTGGCATGGTGCCGATAAGTGGAAAATGGCAAATGTGATACCTTTTTTCCCAAAACAGGGGGACAGGTCCTTAGCTTCGAACTATAGACCAATAAGCCTAACCTCCATAGTGGGAAAATTTATGGAATCAATAATTGCCGAGGCAGTTCGTAGCCATCTTGAAAAGCATAAATTAATCAACGAATCTCAGCATGGTTTTACAAAGGGGCGTTCCTGCCTTACGAATTTATTAACTTTTTTCACTAAGGTATTTGAGGAGGTAGATCATGGTAATGAATATGATATTGTGTATATGGACTTCAGTAAGGCTTTTGACAGGGTCCCACATCAGAGACTATTGAGGAAAATTAAAGCACATGGAATAGGAGGAGAAATTTTTTCCTGGATAGAGGCATGGTTGACAATAGGCAGCAGAGAGTTTGCATAAATGGGGAGAAATCAGAGTGGGGAAGCGTCACGAGCGGTGTTCCACAGGGGTCAGTGTTGGGCCCCCTGCTGTTCACAATCTACATAAACGACATAGATGAGGGCATAAAGAGCGACATCGGCAAGTTTGCGATGACACCAAAATAGGCCGTCGAATTCATTCTGACGAGGACATTCGAGCACTCCAGGAAGATTTGAATAGACTGATGCAGTGGTCGGAGAAGTGGCAGATGCAGTTTAATATAGACAAATGCAAAGTTCTAAATGTTGGACAGGACAATAACCATGCCACATATAAAAATAAAT